GAGCTCTGAGAGAGGCATTTTCAGAAGTGGATGACACAGAGGTGTGAAAGGTTCTTGAAACCTTTTGGCTAAGGGCAACAGAGGCCTTGCCAAATGGAGCAATGGGAGGATTCCACTGATCAGAATCAAGAAAGGACACCTGGTTGCGCTCACAGAGAAGCTGGATAAGACAGGGGAAGACAAGAGTCCCCTTGTGTTTTGTACCATGACCTATGGTTTTGCCAAGAATAGCATGATAGAGAATATCCCCAAAGGGAATTTTATCATGATTCACCATTGAAATCATTAGTTGACAGGCAACCAGAGTGGGATTTGAATTATTTCCAGTGGGCAGAACATTATGATGGATAAAATCCCATAGAAATTTGTAGAATGGTGACAAATAGACTTAATAGGAAGGCCTTTAGAAGTCAGAGGCATAGACTGATCAGTATAAGCCATGGTTTTAAACAAATCAATATTATACTGAGAAGAAACACCAGCAAACTTCTCAGAATCAAAACCAGGGCAAGACCTAAAACCTAAAACCCGATTGATGACAGATGGTCTCAGAGTAATGGGCACAGACCTAACAACAATCTGATATTTTGACTCCTTAGGATCAGCAGGAAAATTTGAGTAAAACTCCTTAATTACAGAAGAGTTAAACTTACCAGAGAGAGCATTGAGAGAATGAAGACGGTAGTGCTAAAAAATCTGAGTGGCTGAGGCTTGGGCTGCCAAGGGGAGAACATCAATTTGGTAAGACCTCTTAGGCACAAACCTCCTTTTAGAGATAACACCATCAAAGAACGAGGCTGCCTCAGGGGACACAAATGGAGAGGATTCTCCAACAGGAATAGAGGAAGAGGAACGGGTCCTAGGAGCCCTAGGAATGGAGGGAATGAAATCCACTCTGTCATGGGATTTCGATTTGGAGCGACAATTGTAAGAGAGGAAGGGCTTTGAGGACGACATGGCAGGCAGGGAGAAGAATTGGGGAAGAGAAAACAGAGGAAAACAAAGAGAAGAACGAAGACGGCAGAGAGAAAAAAAATGCAGAAAGAGGGAAAGAAACAAACAGGAGGAAGAATTTTGGGGACCCAACGAGGTAGGCTGCTCGATTTTGTTTCTGAAGGACACAGAATGGGAAAAAGAGGGAAAAGAGCCCTAAAAGAAAAAGAAGAAGAAGAAGATTCGTGGACCCAAAGGGGTTTGTTTCTGATTTTAGTGGTTGAAAAAGACAAACTGAAAAGAAAGACAAAAAGAAGAGGGAAAAAAGACCTAAAAACTAAATGAAAAGAGAAACCAAATAAAAAGGAACCGCTAAAAACCAAAAGAAAAAAAAACGCTAAAAAAAAAAAAAAAAAACC